CGGTCAAGAGTCCAGAAGGTGGGCACAGGTCCGTGCCTTCCTCAGCAAACAGGAAATTGGGTGGCTGTAGGTTATGCCTCCTCAGCCCCGAGTCTTGCCAGACACGCAGAAAACAGAAAAAAGGAAAATTTTTCAGCCAGTGAAAGTCACTGCAGACTGAAGCCGGGAACAAGGAGCTACACTCCTCAACTTTGCAAGGTGCCATGAACACCCCAGACACTTTGCACCACTGACACCAATTCATAAAATTATAAATAACAACCTATCAACAGGAAGGGGCATCTCTTCCAGTTTACAGATGTTTGTTGCCTCAGAAGGGCATCCGTGGCCTCTCCACAGTGCAGAGGCGACCTCAGCCAATGTTCAGGGGGCCCGCAAGAGCAACGTGCCACTGTCCACACTGGCTTTCCATTCACTTCTGGGCTCAAATGGCCCACGGCCTGCGGGGCTCACAGCGGACCTGGAACTGGCCACCGGAGCTATTGCCCAGCGGGCCAGGCAGCAGACAGTGCCAGGGAAGAGATCCATGGAATGGCACATTTTGGGTATTACATGAGCAGAGCTGGCTGGAGCCTGGGGTCAGACTAGATGGCCCAGGAGAACCTTCCGACACCCTGCGTTTCTGTCCTCCAGGCCTGAAGAGACAAGTGATAGATGTGGCAAACCTCACGTCCCTGGCCAGTAGAAAGAGCTTCTGACCAACGGGCAGCCCAACCCTACAGACCTCTTGGCCCTCCTGAACGCTCCCATGCAAAGATTCTTCCCTTCCTTTGCATCTGTTAAAGCGCTCTGAGAAAGCTGCCCAGAAAGCGTGCACCAACTCAGACACCAAAGACACAAGAAGAGACCTTCTTAAATGCTTACTCTAAACGACAGGTCTGTCTCCATCATGGGGAAGCCCTCTTTAGTCCACCCAAAGCAGGAAGACACTACCCTGGTTATTTAACTCGATCCGGCAATGGGACATGCGAGTCAATCAAAAGCAGTTTTGCACATTAGTGGCGCACCCATGTGCTTTTGGTTCATGTGAGTGGCCCATTACCAGATAAAAGTGTGACCCTGGTGGACTGTCCTAAATCTCTTCCCAAAACTCCCCGTGGCTTTTTGCGCCCTCGAAGATCAATGAAACACGTAATGCAATGCATATCATGCGTGGCCACACGGCGTGGCAACAGCCACACGCTTAGAACGACTTATGGCAGCAGCCTAAGCCAGGTGCCCTCTCCAGGTGTGTTGGCTGCCGATCTCACCATTTCTGTTGGCCAGCATGGATGAGGACAGCAGTCCAGAACTTTTCGAGGGAGACCAGTCAGAGAAGGAACATTTCTGGCAACAAGCGGTGAACGTCTTGCTCCAGAAAGCACTGCTTACAAAAAAAATGACAGCAGTGGTGGGAACCCTCAGCCATCCATGTGGTGCCGAATGCTAGCACCCATAAGCATTAACCAGCATAGTCAGGAATGATGGGTGCTGGAGTACCAGGACTTCTCAATATCCAGGGGTTCCTCACAGTTGAACTCTACAGATGTAGCAATTAGAAATGTGGTTTTTCCAGGACTCAGACTTTTCCAGGATGTCTGATCTCCAGCTATATTACCATGCTGAAAGCATTACTTATTCTTTTAATAACATTTATATCCCACTTTTCTAAAGACTTTTTTGAAGGACAATGCAACTGCACACTCAATTGATACAGCCAATTAATTCAGCAAAATCACCCTGTTAGAAATCTACAGAGAATTAAAAGTGACCCTCTGGAGGATTCCAAACCTGGTGGCTCACGGGTGTGTCTGGGGAGCATCTTCCATAAATGGGGCAGCACCGCCAGAACAGTCCGCTCACTGGTCTGTAATCTTGTGACACAGAGGGCCAACGAAGGAGGACTTCCAAACAAGATCCTGGTTATGAGGCAGGCCCACATGGGAGAAGCGCCGGCTCCCTAGCCACTCAGGGCTCATCTTCAAAAGCAGGACCCAAAATTGTGCCTATTAACACAGGGAGATATTCCGGCACGGCTGACGTATGTTCAGAAGAAAGCATTCCGCTTAGCAGATGGGCTGCCATGTTCTGAACCAAAAAAGCTTCGAGGGAAGCCCAGCAGCCGCCCGAAAGTGGATCTCAGGAGCAAACAAGAACAGTGCTCGAGACTGTACAGGGCAACCCTCCCTAGCGTGGGACTGCAGACGCCTGGGATTTCAACCCCCATCAGCCCCAGGCAGCAGGGCCAGCGGTCAGGAAAGCAAAGGGTTGAAATCCAAAACATCAGGAAGGCACGGCTGGAGGCAGGCTAGGAGAAGCAACACTGAATGCATTTTGCTCTTGCCCTGCATGGCTGGCAGTGGAGGGCTGCAAGATAGAGGCAAAATAAGCCATTCCTCAGAGTAGCCCTCCCGTTGTGTTTGCCCGACAGAGCTGGAAAATGCTCGGGTGAAGGGGGCAGGCGGCTCTCTGGGCACAGCCTCTGCTTCCTCAGACTGGCGGAAGGGTGGGAAGAGAAAGGAAAGGTGCATATCCTTAAACACTGCCCGTGTGAATAAACCCCTGCATGCAGAAAGCTGGCACAGCAAGGAAAAGTCTGTTTGCATAGCCTAGTCCCTGATGAGCTGGATTTCCAACATTCAGGGAATTAATGATTGATTGATCTTAATATTTATAGACCGCCCGATTCCCATAGGCTCTGCTCAACTGAGTAGAAAGTGCTTGTTTATATATTTACTTTGCTTTTTCAGTGCCCCCACACAGATGGGTGTGTTGCCATCAGGCCTGATATCCTGGATGGGCACCTGGTAGGCTTAAGTCAACGCTGGGGCCTTCTCCTCCCCGAATCACTGGCTGAAATGAGCAATCCCTGCATCCAGTCTGTCCTTGTTTGTGCCCATTTTAAGACTATCCCGGCCCCATCTGTAAATAACACTACAGGCCTACCTTACAGGGTTGTTGCAAGGCTGGCCATGATCACACAGCAGAAGCTCGCTGAGCCTTCACACACGCGTCATAAATGCCAGACATTATAATTTCTGTCACAGGGAACTAGACTGCTTCTCCGCTGCCCCAAATTCCCCTGCTCCAAGCTTAAATAAAGGGAACCAAGCCACACACGGTGGGGCAAGCCATACACTCCCCACAGCCCAAACCAGGACTTCTCCTCAACCGGACCAAGGGGGGAAGAGGCGGCTTGCTTGTTCTTTCCTTCCTCTGCTGCATCACTGAATCAAGTGGCTGAGCAGAGCAGCACCGTACGGCCGACCAAAGGGCCCAAGGCTGGCCTCCTCTGGGTCACCACTTCCTCCCCCCGTGAGCCCAAGGGGCTGGTCAGCAAGGGCAGTTTTAGACAGCTGATGCGGAGTGCCTTGGTTCACCCGACCGAGCCGCAACGCGAGATTCCTGCAAAGGGAACTTTAGCACCCTCTTTCAAGCAGAGACCTCCAAGCATTCCCTCACCCCAGAGCCAACAGCAAGGGAGTTTCTCTCGTACGCACGTCCGCCAACCAATCATACCTGGTTGGCATGTCTTGGCATGTGCACAGGTGTGAGCCACTGAGGGCTGGATTCTGTCGAGGCCTCTGTTAGAGGACGGCAAAAGGCACCCTTTGCATGCATCTTGCAGGCCCTTGGCCTTTGGGAACCCAGGTCGTCAATCTCTTGCACTGGGAACAGGAGAAATAATCTCTGTTCTCAAGAACACTGCCAAGCATCCACTCCCAATTTCTGACTTTCACTGGTGTTCTGCTGCTCAGGGTGTGTGCCAAAGTTTAATGCACAGCTTTAGGTGACTATACCATTTTTCGGATCTACTGGAGGCAGGCACATTTCTTTCAATGAAGCCATGTTTCCAAAATCCTGATGCACGAGGCACTGCTTTTCTTCCTTTTAAATCACGTCCAGTGACATACTTCACACCCAGAAGAGCTTAGATTTAAGCATGCGAGCAGATCAGAATCACCCACCTAGGAGGAGTTTAGCGCTTTGGCATGAGTCGCTGTTCTGGGAACAACTCCTCATTGGAAAGAGGCAGATTCCAGAGCAGAGACACAACAGCCAAGCTCCATTGAGTGCAAGTGGGTACCTCTGTTGGGAGCAGACCTGTGATGCTAGCACACACAATGAAAAAACATGGGAAGATTCCCTGTCCCCACTACTGTCTGACCAGCAAGAAGTAAGACCAGGGCGGGGTATCACACAGAGATGCAACAGTCAGCCTCTCTAGACCAGCTGACGGGCTTCTGCTTTTCTAGCAACACAGGACCAATTCTCAAACAGCACATGATTTAGGAATTATAGTGCTACGAGACCAGTATGGCTTCCCCTTCCTTTTGGTGCCTTTCCAAAATGCTTCGCTACCATAGGAATGCACAAACCACATGGGCCAATACATTGCCCCAAAATCCAACCTCAGATACAGATGGGGTTTGTAAAAAGCCAGGATGAACCTAATACACCATTCTGTTCCCATGGTGGCCTATCAACAGCCCATGAAAAGCCAAAGACAAGACATGAGCAAAACCATGCTCCTCCACAAGTTTTCCCTGGTACGGCATGATACTGGAAATATCAAGTAGCCCTTGGGAGCTTTCTCTTCCATAATTTCGTTTTAAAGCCAGCCAAGTTGGTGGCCATCCCTGCGTCTTGTGCCAAGAAATGCCACAGCTGAACGATGCGCTTGTCACATGCGGTTTCTTCCTTCACCACTCCCACAACTTCAGGATCAAGCCCAGATCTGCTTGCGAGCAAGGAGCTGGACCCAGCGCTCCCCCCTCACTCTGCACGAAGGAAAACCCATTTCGCCCACCCCCAAAATTCAGGAAAAAAACTTAGCACGACTTATCAGCCAAATGAACACAGCATAGAGAACGTGGCATCCCAGGCTAGCCCAATACCCCTTGGCACGCCATTTGGCATCAGACAGAAGCGTTCTGTGTTGCCCAAAAGCTTGCCTCTCTGGATCACCAGCCCAAGTTGGCCAAATCAGAAAGAAACGTTCTACAGACAGAGAGGCTTACCTGGAACTTCTCCTCCTCTGCCACCAACAAAGCAACCAAAGCCTCAAGAAACGAACGAGCAAGCCGGACACGTCCGCACGCTCACACGCGCGCACGAGGCTGGGCGCACAGCCGGGAGAAGGGTCGTCAGGACCTGCCCCACGATGGCCAAAACTTGTGCGCCGACTCTCAAAAATGTCTCCACCTTCCCGAGGCCTCCCTGCCGGCCCAGCTCACAACCAGCCACACATCCAACTTCCTCCCCGGCTGGAGGTCTGGCATTTCGGGCGGGCAGCCTCCGGAGGGTGCATCGCAAAGCAGACGTGAACAAAAGAAAATGCCCTTCGTGAGCTACCCATGGAGACTCGGCAGACCGGGGGGGCACCCCGACCCGCACATTCGCTAGCCACCATTGCGGCGCCCTGCCCCGCTCGCCAAAAAAGCGCGCATCCCGGTCCCGGGGCGCACCGAGCCGCCTGCATCCAGCGCTGCGACGGCGAATCCGGGCTGCGGCGCGGATGCCAATCCGGAAAGGGCTGCGAATCGGTTCAGGGGAGCACGACACAGACACATGGACAAAATGCCACGAAGGACAGACCTGGCACTCCGGAGAAGCGCAGGGAAAAGCGAAATCTCACCATGTTTTTTAAAGAGGCAGATTCCACACTATGAGCACAACACATTCGCGTCCAAAGAGCTTTCCAAACTATTTCTCAGCAAACCTGGCACTGCTAAAAAAAGCAAAACGAAAAGCCCTCTCAGTTTTAGGAAGGAAGGAAGGAAGAAAAAGCACACCATTTTCCGTCATCGTAAACCAAAAGGAGCTTGCAAAAAGAGAAAAGCAAAACCCCCGATTCCATGAGCTCTCCCCACACAGACAATTCAACACACCAAAAGAAGCGGGGGAGGAAGAAGAAAAAAATACACATCAGGTTAGCTTGCAGAGGGGCATCCGACAAAATATTTCCCTGGTCAACTTTTGCATGAGTTAAACTTCAGATCTTCCACAGAGGTTTTGCAGAGCTATTGCTATTTTCATAAAAGTGCAATTCGCATGCAATTCTCAGTGCAAGAAAGAAAGCAAAAGAAAGCCCTGATCCAACAACCGTGCAAAAAGCTCCTACACACACAGCAAGGCAAAGCAAGGAAGATTACAAATCAGCATCATCAGAAAATATAGATTTAAAAAAATAAGAGAACAAAACACCCCTTTTAGGTGCCTTCGTTTGCCCGTCCCAGTTGCCTCTCCCACATTCTCAGAGTTTTTATTAAAATTTTCAGACAAAAGGAAAACAAAAATGGCAGCCGCGCTTATTTTTAAAACAGAACGGGGCCGCCATATTCTGCAGATCTGCAAAAAAAAAAAAAAAAAAAAAAAGTGGGGGGAGAAATTGAAGCTCTACTCCGAGAGGGGAAGAAGAAAAAAAAAATTTTTTTTCAGGCAACCACAAAAGTGCAAAGTCGGAGGGGGGAAAAATTAAGCTCCTTCTGCCCTCGCCTTTATTTGCATTCAAGGGTTCTGGGCAGGAAGATTGCACCAAAAGGGGTCTTTTTATTTTGAATTTTTTCCCTATTTGAATAGCCCGGCTTTTATTTATTTAAAAAAAGACACTTCCTATACCAATACACATGCTCCACTTGCGAATCGCAACCCCAGCCAGCGATCCGTCCGCAAAGGAAGAAAATGGGCACCCCCCTTGCGCTTCCTCTTCCTCCTCCTCCTCCTCATTCTCCACCCGCCCAACCTTCTGTACGTCGTGGGGGGGAGCGGCGGCGGAGGAGGAGGAGGAGGAGGAGGGGGCACCGGGAAAGCACCCCCCTTTCTTCCTCCGATCCCGATCGGCTGCAAACGCATGCACGCATGCATGGAATTTGCAGGCACCAAAAGGCGCTCCCCCCGCGCGCCTCTCTGCTGTGGGGAAGCGCCGCTGGAGCGGACATGCATTGGCAGGGGGAGCGGGCGCGCGCGCGGGCGGCCGGGCGAGGCGAGGCGTCGGGCATGCAACTTCGCTCCGAGGGCCCCGCGATCCGTGGCCGGCTCCCTGCCTCCCCCACCGCCGCCTGGACGCCCCCGGCCCAGCTCCCGGCCCCTGCCTAAACCTGGCCTGGGAGTGCAGCCCTTCTCCCTGAGTCCTGCGAATACACACCTTAAATTGCAGAGTTTTGCAAAGAGCGGGCTTGGGGGCTTCGCGCTCGCAAACAGACATGGGGTGCGGGTGGGAGCACGGGAGAAAAATTGTTTTTAAAAAATGCCATCATGCCACTCAAGTTTAGCGGGGGGGAGCACTGCTGCTTTACCTCCAGCCCCCTAAGAAACCCCTCCCTGCCCAAGGAGGTCTTGGGATGGTCTGTCTAGCTCAAGGGAGCCCCCCCCCCCCGTCTTTCTTTCCCTTTCTCTTTTCCCTTTCTCGTTTTTTCCCTCCTCTCTTGGAAGGTTTAGTGCAAGTCTTCCGGGTCGCCTCGCAGTTCACTTCTGGTTTCTGCAAGCCCCAAAACGGCAGCTTGTGCTTGCACAAGAAAAGCCCCCTTTGCTTGCCATTCCCCGCACCTCTCCAAAATAAAAAATAAGGCCCGACTAGTGGAAGGTTTTGGAGAATCTCCTCCCACCCTCTTCCTCCTCTCTTCCTCCCAGAGTTTAATCTTTTTCCTTCCTTACTTGGCAGGGGATTTTTTGCCTCCCTTCAAAACATTCACTTCTTTTGAAAGAATTTCCAAAATGGGCAGATACAGTATTCGCATGAAAGATGGGGGGAAGGGGAGGAGAAAGAGGGGGTGGGAGCCTGTGGAAAAGAAAACCTTGTGGTGGGGAGGAGGGGGCTTGTGGGCTTGGCCGGCTGCAGCATGTGCCCAGGCATTTCTGGCAAAAGGCACAGAGCAAGGAGTGGGTTGCCTTGCAAGCCGCTTTCCTCCACCCTGTGTCCTGGGAGGGGGGAAATAAGTGCGTGCATTTTTTTAAAGATTTCTGATAATGCCCCCCCCCCCGCTGCCCCTTGCACACCCCATCCCCCAATTTCCTGGCCTGGCACCAAGATAAATTCACAGGCACCTCTTCTGCAGGTCAAATCATGGACCATTTTCCTGGGAGGGGGGAGCACGGCTGAATGCCGGGGGCCTTACTTCTGAGCCGACACACCCGGATCAAGCGGCACATGGAGGGTGAACGGCCAAGGAAACACAGTGGGCCTTCTTAGGATCCTTTGGCCATAGAGTCCGTCAGCGGCTGTGAACCACTGAGACTCCATCGAACCTCCTGGTGTAGAGGCAGTCTTCCTGTTGGTAACAAGAACTGGATTTGTGCCTTGCCAGTTAGCTTCTGGAAGGCTTCTGGCTGGCCACTGTTGGAAGCAGGATGCAGGTCTTGTGCATAATGCTTTGGTAAGAAAGAGCTCTGATCCTAAATACGCCCCCCCCCCATGAATCTCAGGTTGCTGCAAAGGGCTCTTTGCTCTATATCAGCCACAATCTTGGCTTGGGGGTTTTGAAGTCTTGGAATCTTCTGTTGCGGCTCAGTCTGGTAAAGCTTTCTGTATGTTAGCAAAGGGCGCATTAGCCCTGCCTCTGCAGAGCGCCGGCAACAGAGGCCTTGGCAAAAGATCTTCCAGAAAGAGCCGCTCTCACCTGTGCAGGATCCATCACCTGGGTGAACAGGAGCGGGGGTGAGGTGCAGGAGACGAGGAATTTTGGGTCCACCTAAGAGCGAAGGAGCCGAGCTTGCGAACCCGCACCAGCTCACTCAACAAGTGAAAAGTGAAATGAACCCCCTGAGACACTGTCAAGGGAGGGAAATAAAAGCTTTAAGATAAAATAAAACAATAAAATAAAAAAGGGATTTGCTGACTCAAGAGCAGCCAACCATCAAAAAAGGATCCTAATTTTTGTTTTTCAGATGGACCTCTGCAAGCGCCTCCTGGAATCCAGTGCGCCTCGCTGGCTGCAGAAAACCCTCCAGTGGAAGGCTTCGGGCTGGAGAGGCCAAAAAGCCCACATGCTCCTGATGTGGCTTCACACCCCTGGAATCTGAGGAATGCAGAACCAGAAGTTGTGGGGCACGGATGCTGCCTGCAGCCCTTGTCCTCCTGTTTCAAAAATGTGGGACACAGTGGCGGTTTGCGGAAAGCCCTCGCCCCATCCGGCTGCTACATTGCAACTCACAAGACTAGGGAAACTTGGAGTGCCACAACACCGCATCTCACACAGTTCGCCACCATGGAGGCGGGAACAAGGAGGGCAACACGCAGAGTTGGCGTGTCTTGTTCAGTCACAAAGTCGTGTCCGACCCATCACGACCCCATGGACAACAGGCTCTCCTGTCCTCCACCATCCCCCGGAGTCCATCCAAGCCCACTCCCACCTCCCCAGTAACCCCATCCAGCCACTTCAACCTCTGCCGCCCCTTCTCCTTTTGCCTTTGATGGTTCCCAACATCAGGCTCTTCTCCAGGGAGTCCTTCCTGCTAATTTGGTGGCCAAAGTATTTGAGTTTCATCTTCAGTATCTGGCCTTCTAAAGAGCAGTCAGGGTTGATCTCCTCTAAGACTGACTGGTTTGATCTCCTTGCAGTCCAAGGGACTCGCAGGAGTCTCCTCCAGCACCACAATTCAAAGACCTCAATTCTTCGGTGCTCAGTCTTCCTTATGGTCCAGCTTTCACAGCCATACATTGCAACTGGGAAAACCATGGCCTTGACTATACACACTTTTGTTGGCAGGGTGATGTCTCTGCTTTTTAGTATGCTGTCTAGATTTGCCATAGCTTTCCTCCCAAGGAGCAAGCGTCTTTTAATTTCTTGGCTGCAGTCCCCATCTGTGGTGATCTTGGAGCCCAGGAAAATAAAATCTGTCACTTCCTCCATTTCTTCCCCATCTATTTGCCAGGATATGAGAGGACCGGATGCCATGATCTTAGTTTTCTTAATGCTGAGTTTCAAGCCATCTTTTGCACTCTCCTCTTTCACCTGCATCAAGAGGCTCTTTAGTTCCTCTTCACTTTCTGCCATTAGAGTGATATCATCTGCATATCTGAGGTTGTTGGTATTTCTCCCAGCAATCTTAATTCCATCTGGTGATTCATCCAGCCCCGCCTTTCTCATGATGTGCTCTGCATATAAGTTAAATAGGCAGGGCGACAGTATACAGCCTTGCCGAACTCCTTTCTCAATTTTGAACCAAGCAGTGGTTCCGTGTCCAGTTCTCCTGTTGCTTCTTGACCCACATGCAGGTTTCTCAAGAGACAAATAAGATGGTCTGGTACTCCCATCTCTTTAAGAACTTGCAACAATTTGTTGTGATCCACACAATCAAAGGCTTTAGTGTAATCAATGAAGCAGTGGTAGATGTTTTTCTGGAACTCCCTAGCTTTCTCCATAATCCAGCGTATGTTGGCAATTTGATCTCTAGTTCCTCTCCCTCTTTGAAATCCTGCCTGTACTTCTGGTAGTTCTCGGTCCACATACTGCTGGAGCCTAGCTTGAAGGATTCTGAGCATAACTTTGCTAGCATGTGAAATGAGCGCAGAGGTGCGGTAGTTTGAACATTCTTTGGCATTGCCCTTCTTTGCGATTGGAACGTAAACTGACCTTTTCCAATCCTGTGGCCACTGTTGAGTTTTCCAAATTTGCTGGCATATTGAGTGTA